TCACTACTTGACATCATTAAAGACTCTGTACAACAAGAGGGAAAGGTTTTTGAGTATATTTTAGAAATACTCAAAGACGAAGATACCATACTAGCTAACAAACTGTATGTAGATATGATTAATAAATATGAGCAATATAAATAACTGTTGCTGAACACATGCACACACATTATTATTTGATTGTTTGTTTGTATCTTGATATTTCTGACAGCACAAAATATATTTTATTGTGTGATTTAAAAAGAAAATGCATTTCTTTATTAAAACTCATCTTTCAAATCAGGCTTTGCATCATGATTGCAGCAGGTCTTTGTGAGGGACAGGCCCACTAATTGCATACCATGCCAGCTTACTGGAAGTGGATGTACTAGTATAGAGGTACATATGTATGGTAATGTCACTCATATTATATTGTAAATTTTAGCTGGTCACTGCACTGTATCAGCGCATTAATGTGATTCACTATAGGTTAAACCAAGTAGAGTAATAGATCTAGTTTAAGATAAGACATGAAGTAATAACAGCATATGGCTGTTAGTATTATGACAGACAAATAATCAGCGAGGCTGTGCTACCCGTATATTGCTACTACCTGGGCTAAGCTTACTGTATAGCTTATAAGAACTGGGTACCATCCACTGGAAATTTGTTTCAATGTTGAATAGTATTTCAGTTTTGTCTACTTTATGCAATGTTCTCCTACACATGAACATGTCATGTTCTTATAATTTTTTGATCAAAGTGGCAACATAAAAACAATAAATAAAATATTGTTATATACAGAGGACAATGATAACAGTTTTATATAAACTCATCAATTATAACAGTTATAGTGAGCAATTTTTATGAAAATGACATCCTAATAATCCAGCAACTACTCCTATAATATACAACAAATAAAAACTGAAAATTGTTTATTTAAAAAATAAAAACTCACCAGCAATTGCCAGAACAATAATCAATATTATGCAAATAAGGATTGCCCACAACTATTAAAAGACAAAAAAATAATTTCCTTTTTATAAAATAATGTACACAGCTTAATTCAATTGCACTAAAACCAAGTTGAAATTCACCTTATAATTTTTGTTCCTATATTTTTGCCTCAATTGGGAACCTTGTTTTTGAAATAATTCAGCATCCTCATTCAAATTCTCTAAAATAAAGTAACAAATCATTCACTGTACACAGTATATGGAATAATTTCCACTCAAATAAAAGGAATTAAGGAAAGTGTGCATTAAAATTCAACAGTAGATACTTATTAGGCATGCATACAATATCCAATATTTACTATACATCTGTTTAAAGACAGGTTGCTGTATGTAAGC